ACCAGTGCTAAGCAATACTTCATGATTCCTAGGGGGCTGATATATATATTCAGGGATTGAAGAGATGATGTCAACCCAAACTGAATACTGGTGTCAACAAGTTATTTCAAAATATGTAAATATAATACACCAGGGCTGTTTCCATGGCACTTTCATGCAAGTGCTTTCACATCATTTTATTGAATAACCCGTTGGTAACCTCTGGGGTGTTGGTCTGAAGTACATTACAAGTCAGGTTGAACTCAGGGTGAAGTTGGTTGTAACTTGTGTTGATGTCAAGCTCAAAAATGCTCAAGTCAAGCTGTTATCATTCTTCCAATATGAATAAGTCAGATCTTCCTTTCACCTGCTAAAGAAATCTTATATATCTTTTGCTCATCCAATTTTTCTTGAAATTATATTTGAATTCCAAAAGACTGTGAAGGATCATAAGGAAAATGATGTGATTCATGCTCAACTTATGTTTTATCTTGAAATGATCATAACTCACATCAGGTATGTTCACCATTTTATGACCTTGATATTCTTTATTTTATGATCACATTGAAAATGTGGATAAAAGCCTTGCTAGTGATCTCCAAGACCGTTAGAACTGTGAAAACAATCATCCACAAGACACCATTCAGCATCAACAGGCTAAATTACTCCTGACAATCCCAATCACAGTAGCCAACCAAACCTTTGCATATGTTTTAATCTCCTGATTCAGCTTTGTAGCTTGGTTCTCAACTGCCCTGATGGAGCAGTTCATGATATTACTGCAGTGGGAAAGCTTGAAATGGAATAAGGGGGTTCAACATGCAAACCACTCACTTTGGATCCTCAACCCACTGGATTTCGCGGCGCTGATCCAGAGGGGGTTGCGGAACCAATTTGTGGTACACAAATGGGGGTTGCAGGTCAACTTTCTAAAATGCAGATTTTATTTTTCATTAATTGTTTTGGGGGTCAAATTGCAACAAATTTGATGATAACAAATTTTCTTCCTGCAAAGTTTAGGGTGAGGAATTCAATGGTAAAGTTCATTTTGCTGAAAAAAAAAAAAAAAAAGAAAATTGGTACCACACCTGGCTTTCTGAATGTTTTTTTTCTGATTGCAAAGGAACCTGTTTGGGTAATTTTAAGTTTTTTTTCCCACACTTTCAATAGTTTAAAACCCAGTGGTTTAATTGATTTTAGGCTCAATTATCCTCTGCAAGTCAATCCTCTCTTTCTCCTCCTTGGAAGATGGGCCACTCCTGCTGCTACTCTCCCCCAAGACTATCTTCAAATCTGCCAAGGCTACTGTGTTGATTCTTTGCCTTTGCGTTCTCTTAAATGAAAGAGAGGAAACCCCTCTGCCTGCAGCTGGAATCTTGTCACCAAAATTCACAGCCGTAGGTTTTGGAAGATTCACAGCCCTAAGAAAAGCACTCAGTACAGCATCACAACATGCTTTGCATAATAGAACTTATTTCTCCACTTGGCTATTCCTCAAAGCACTGTGATTGCATCATAGCCAAGTAATTTTCTTATCTTGGTGGGTTTTATATTATTGCAACATGACATTAAGCCAAGTTTCAACCAGGTTACCAAAGAGTTGTAGTTGAATTGCAGAGGATATCAACTGAACTTGGGACCAAGTTCACCAAATTCAGGCTAAAACTTTGCACAAATTATGACCAACACGCAAGAGGTATTATTTCAGTATATGAACAAGTTAAGAGAAAGCACTTGCATGCAAGTTCCATGGAAACAGCCTTGGTGATAGCTTCTAATAGAAATATGACCAGTGCTAAGCAATAATTCTTGATTCCTGGTGACCTGATATATATTAAAGATATGGAAGAGAATGTGTCTGGATGCTGGTGTAAAACAAAGTATGTAAAAGATGCAAGTATAGCTTCCAATAAATTTATCACCAGTTCTAATCAATAACACTATGATTCTTAGCGGGCTAATGGGACACAATAATCCAGGGGACAACAGGGCAGTAATTATAAATAAAAAAATTGAAAAAGGAGTGAGGAGCCAAGTTTTAGTTGTGAAAACCAGCAAAGAGGGAAGGAAAATTCTGGACTGGACAGAGGGACAAAGGCCAAGGTGTGGCTGAATATGGGAATGGAACAAGAGGAGTATGAAACAAGGGGAGTAAAACAAAGCCCCAACCCCAGCTTGCAGTTGTTCCAGTCAGCTCAAGGGGCTCTTTTGTTTGAAACCAAAGAAAATTACATATTTTTCATGGGTTTGGAGCCAAATATTTGAAGTGGCACTGGTGAGATCATAGCACTCCCCCCCCCCCAATCCCTCCCTGATAGATTCACTTGAGGGGAAAGTTTTCTTTCCAAACCAAATAGGGTAATATGTAAAAATTCAACCAGAAACATAGCCGGGTCCATCCTCATGAGAATTGCAGAAGAGCCAACAAAATCAAATCTGATACATTCTCCTTTTGTATCCTCCCAGATTCCTTCAAAAATGGAGATCTAATTTATTGATGGGGGATGTTTTCTGACTTGGTCAAATCCTTATTCCATTTCCCTCAAAATCTAAAATCTCTCATCCAGAAATTCCCCAAGTTTCTTTCCTTCAGCAAGGAAACTACAAACTCTATGTTTTATATTTAAACCAATCTTTGTCTGGAGATCTCAGTGAGATTCACAGCCAGTTTATTGAACAATTTTTGGGACCTTTGGGAGGTTGTTGAAACTTTGTGACACTCTGTGAAAGCTTGAGAGACATTTCTATCTGACTGAACCTTATTGATTCTTTTGTAAAAAAAACCTTATTCCTTTCATTCTGAAGTTTACCAGTGATCCTCCTTAAAAAATCCAATCCCTCAACTTTTGACTCAATCTACTCAATCTCATCCACCAATTAACTCTACTCTTTTTTCTCTCTTTCATTCTCTATTTCCTTCTTCATTTGTTCCTCAACTCTCTCTCTCTCAACACTCACACTCCTCGACTTGTGCTACTCAAAGAACTCAAGCTTCCCCATCTTAGCTTCTATCCCTCCTTGGTGAGAAATGACTGGTCCTCCCTTTCAACTTTCTGATCTTAATAACTAACAATTCTCTATCAGTCCTCTGCTTGTCGTCTTCCTGTTCTCTCCTACATTCAGCTATCTGTCTTGACATTGTTTTTATAATTTAAGGGTGCAATATTCTTTGCTTTTTAATTATCAATATTCTTCATATCCTTAAACTCTTTTTCCTTCAGTTCTGGTCCTGGTTTTAGAAATCAATCAATGATTCATCAGAGGTTTTTCCACTTGGAAGAGGTTTTTCCACTTGGATAAGCAAAGCAAAATTTTCTTATTTGGATCTTCTGTTGATCAAAATTCAAGCATTTTTTGTAACAAAGATCCTCCAAAACTATCACAACTATGGGGATGTGCTTTCAGTCAGTCCAAGAATCTTCCAAAAATTCTTTCTGAATTTCTAGTTCATGTGTTTAGCACCTCTCAATTTCAAACTACAACCCAAACCTTTTCTTCAAGATACCACACCTCAAATCTAACAATAATTGACTTTCAAAATCTGAAAATTATGAATCACATCAACCATGCTTTTCCGTATGCCACACCACACTTAACAATCACCAACTAAGAAACCTCAGATTTCTGATGAATAAAGAATTCAACCTGAAAGACACAATAGCAAAAATGTTGCACCACTTGGACAACAACTGGATCAGAGATAATATGGAGAATGGGAGTGTGCTGATTAAAATTAGAAAAGATTAATAAACAATAGAATCAATCCTTGAATAATACATGTGACTAGGAAAAAGATTTCAAGTTTTGCTTTGTATTCTAACCACTAGCTTGTCATCCCTCAATGCTTTTCCTCTGCAATGAAATTCACAAGTGATTTATGCAGCTACCTTAGTGTGTCATATGCTCCCTGGTAACAATTCCAAATTGGGAAAATAAGATCCAATCTAATTTTCATCCTGGAGAAATACCATACTTCCTCTTCCATGGAGAAATTACACAAAAGGAGATGAAGGATGCAATGGTTATGATGAAGACATATGGGATGATTGGAAAATGTGGGAACAACTTGAATATCCTGAAAATGATTGAGTATCCCTTATTGACTCTATGAACTTGTTTTCCCATATTATTCTTGTGGACCTCTGCTTCAATAATGGATTTTGGATTTCTATCTTTGTGTGAAAGCCAGTTTTCTTTTTCAACATTCTATTTTTCTGTTAAAATGGCTTCTTGTTTGAATATTTTCATTTTCAGATCTTGAAGCTCCTTTTCAAGTGGCTTTGATTTTTGTTCTGTTTACTTCAATTATCAAGCTGGACTAAGTTCATGATTTTTTTGGAGCCAAAAGACAGGATTATGGAGCCAATTAGTTAATAAGTTGATTTCAAAGAATGATTGGATTTGCCAAAAACTTGAGTTTGGTTCAAGAAAACATTTCCAATGGGCCAAAATTTCATCTGGTCTCAAAATCTACAAGCTAAGAGTCAGTAACATCAATTTAAACTCCAGAATGAATTGAGTGATAATCCAAAATTGGAGCAATGGAACTTTTGTCCTTATCAGGGAGTCATATATCCACTTTCTACTCAGTTTATGTCTTGATTTACTTTTCTTCATGTCACCTGGAATGTATGCACCTTATGTTTGGCATGGTGACTTGGATTTATGCCCAGACAGACTTGATATACAAGATACCAAGTGAGGGATGCTCATTGAGGCCAATCATGTGGGGAAATTTTGGATTTTCACCTGCTAGAGATTTTAAATGGGTCAGAATGATTGTGGATTGAAATCACAATGACCTGAGACAACTCACCTGCAGGGACATACCCATAATGTGCAACACAAATGGTGAGCTGGATGGGTCACCCATGCAGAAACACATGAAGATCCTCTCTTTTTCAGAATTTCATATATGCCTCTGTTTTCCTTTCTGCTGTTAGCATTCAAATAGGTAGGAGAGGTTCACCACTTTGGTTTACGTAACTATAATGCAATTTCCCCCCGGCACAACATCGGTTGGCCGCCTGGCCCAATGGTCAAGGCGCCTGCCTACGATTCCCGGTCGCGAGCAGGAGACTCCAGGTTCGAGTCCTGGGGCGGTCGCCCTTTTGTCGGGGCTCCACCCCATCCATTTTTACTCGCCATGCAAGACCAGCAGCCAGTGCACATTTTCTGTAGAGTTGAATTTTAATTTTTTATGAGGACAATGGAGATTGGTTGTTTCCATGGGTGAATTGTTGGAGATTGGATGGACGTGGCGACGACCCGAAGCCGATTGCAGGATACACGCTTTGCACAGACTGTGTATCTTTACCAGCGAGAGAAGAAAGTCAAACAATGCAGAATAAAAAAACAAAAACAGTGGAATGGGAGAGGAAGAAGGACGGGAGGGGAGCCTCATGACAACTCGTTCAAGGCGTTGACCGAGCTATCCAGGCCGACAAGATGTGCATGGTTTTGATTCGTGAGGAACCCCTCGATCAGGGCGGGATCTTTAATAAAACAATTGTTGAGTTTCCTGGTTTTATTACTTGGACGTTGGTGGTTGGGTTTGGAGCCGATGACGAGGGTGCTGTTCTTGATGATGAGGCGCTCCGCTAGTTTCTCTTTGAGCTCCGCGCGTAGCATTTTCGCCTCTCTCTGCGCGCGGTTGTCGCCTCCTCCCGGCCTCCGCTTCTTGCTCATTCCCCCGTCATCATCCGCTTCCGTGTCCGTTTCTTCTAGCTCGATCTCTAACATCTCCGCCGTCTTCTTCGTCCAGTTTTCCTCGTGAGATTGCTTCGTTGATTTGTGTTCCAACATATCTATCTTCCGCGCCAACTCGAGCAACTCTTTCAGCTTATTCGAAATGGAATGTTCAATCGGTGGCGATGGCATATCATCGGCTAAATAAAAATATCATGATGAGTGGATATATATCTATATATATGTATGTATGTATGTATGTATAATTGAGGGAATGGGACGAACCTCGACCCAAGTTTTTCATCAAACTTTTCCAAGTTTTGAGTTCATCAGGGGCGATGAGAGCCAGCGCGACGCCGGGCATACCAGCCCGAGCGGTCCTGCCGGAGCGATGGACATAACAGTCGGGGGATCTAGGGACCTGATAATGGATGACATGGTCGACCTGGGGGATGTCCAATCCTCGCGCTGCCACATCGGTGGATAACAGGACCGAATTTGTCCCCGTCCTGAATCGGTCTAAGGATTTCAACCGCGATCTTTGCTGCATCTCCGAATGTAACGTCAGCACCGTCCGTTGCGGTAACAACAGATTCAACATCGGCGATAACCTTCGAAGCGCTGATATCGACGAAAGAAATACTATCGTCCGCCCCGTGTAGCGAAGCATAAAGTGCAACAGATATAGATCCTAAATACCTCATTAAAAATGTCAGTATTCTAGGATGAAAAAAGGACATGACGCCAGATGGACAGACTTTGTCTTTGAGTACGCATTCAATTTTGCATTCTTTGAGCCCACCGACCATCCTTCCCTCGGGAGTTAAATCGATCAATTCAGGATGGGGATCTCTGAAGTCGATTTGCTCCAACAAGTCATGCATGGGATCGGGGGAGGGTGTTGAAACACCCAGGGTGGCCGGTTTCCGCTTGAAAGATTTCTTCTTGAGGTTGATCTGGAGATTCTTATCCATCGTGGCTGAGAAGACCATGGTTCTGATCTTCTCCTTGATGAAGTTATGGGCATTATGGGTGGTGGACTCCCACTCATCTTCCCATCCTTCGTTTTGATCATCATCATCTGCCTCACTGAGGTCTTGCTGAGGCCTGCGAGATTTAGGGCGCTTGGTCAATTTCAGGATCTTTTCGAGTTCATCAAAGTGGCCTTTCTCAATCATCTTGTCAGCCTCATCGATGATGATCCAGTCCAACTTGCGTTTGATTCCCTCCGCAAACTCGTCCCAGCTCTGGATCATATCCCACAGCCGACCGGGCGTGGCGATGACAATACAGCCCAGACCACCTTTCCCGGGTTCCATGAGCTTCTTGCTCCGTTCGAGCTGTTTGCGCTGCTTGGCGATGGCGATCCCCCCGCAAATAGAGACTGTCATGATCCCCGTGCGGTTCTTCGACGGAACATGCTCATGCGTCCTAGCTTCGTGTGAGGGATCACTGCACATGGCCTTGAGGAAGGTGTCGATGTGAGTCTTGACTTGCAGACACAGTTCTCGTGTCGGCGTTAAGACCAATGTCACGATGGGCAACACTGAGGGACTTGTTTTCAAAGGAGGCGAGGGCGATGACGACAGGATTAAAGCATTGAGGATTGGAAGGGCATATGCGAGCGTCTTCCCCGAGCCGGTTTCGGCAATCACCACCAAATCTCGAGGGGAATCTGAGGAAGTGAGTGAGATGGGCAAACTGGCTTCCTGGACAGGCGTCGGTTTCGTGAATTGAAGATGATGCAAAGCCCGCTTGATGGGATGGGCAAGGTTGAGATGGGACCAAGCAGGCAATAGTGAATCTATATATATATATTGACAGACGGCGATGAGATGTCAAAAGCTATTGTAGTAAGTTAGACTGAAAGATTGAAGACTGACCATCGAAGGGGAGCATGTTTAACTGGTGATCGACGTCTCTTTCCATGTCAGACATTCCATCGAGATCAGCAGTCGCGGCCCAGTCCACGTCGTGTAATTCATCCTCCGTTGCTTCAGTATTTTCTCCTGGATTGTCTTCTTTTTTGCTAGTGTTATTGGTAGTAGAAGAGGCATCGGCAGGCTTGTTTTGTTTTTTGAGATGTCTTAGTTTGGCCAATCTTTCCTTCTTGGCCTGTTTCCTTCGCTCTTTATCGATTGAGACTTGTTTCTCGGTTTGGTCTTGATGAGAAGATTGAGGCAGTTGCAAATTACTCTCCTGAGGAGGCTCCGAGATAGTTTGATGCTGGTGTTGGTCAAGATGATCGAGCGCACGTTTCCGACCACCGGAGTTTTTGAGCTCTTCCCAAACATTGCCGTCCAGTTCTTCCAAGCCTAGTAGTCCTCCGCCATCGGGGTCGAAGGATAAACCATCGCCGAGGAAGTCGGGCAGACGGACTTTCTTCCAGGGGAGCTTATCGAACGCCGTCGGCTTGGTTGAGTCGGTGCCCAGATCGAAGGTAGGTATGGTCGGCTGAGGTTGTTCAGTTTCGCAGTCATGGATGTCTCCAATGGGCTCGCTGTCATCGAAGCGTGGTTCTTCTAGTTCCTGTTGGTCCTCTTTTCTGCGTCTCCGCTTCGCTGGCCGAGTCATTTTGTTTTCTGTTGTGTTTCTGCTGAGAGTCTTCTACGACATAAAAACCCATTCATTTTGAATATTCATCCACACACATGCATCTCAAGAATTGTGCATCTCAAATACTCTCCAATACTCAGAATCCAATCACTTATAAACAAGTCAAACTCTGGTTCCCTTGTGGCCCAATTACAGATAGCTTAGAGTAGGAAATTCAACCTATGTGATATACAAGTGAAGAAGAAGACAGAGGTGACAGCTGGGTAGGCACTGTGTTTACAGGAAGGTAGCAACAAGAATTGCTAGGAGCAGTTGGCAAGCACTTAAGCTGATTGGCTACTTGTCAGAGGTGGTTGAATCACTGAGGATCCATCTCAGGGCCCAAAAGGGACACCTTTTACATTCTAGAGGTCTCCTAGGAAGCTAAATAGTGGGCCATTGGTGTATTTCACCATTCTTACCATCAAATGATCCCATAATGGGGTCATCTTGCACCATCATAGTTCATTTGAGTCCTTCAATTCATTCTATGTCCATATGACATCAGGATGCATTCTTATAACCAATGACATCATGGGTCAACTCCTCTAAACAGTCTGGATTGAAATAAGTTTCTCAAAGACTGTACAAGAGGAACTTTCTCATGTTGCTCTAACCTCAATTATACTACTATTGAAACCATGCTAAGTTATAGTCGTGCACTGTTGAGTGTTCAATGGGCTATTGTCAACTTTCAAGCTCACTTTTACTTGTTTGAATCCCATCAGAAACATGAATATTCAATTTAAAAGACTTGACACACCTCATCATCAAATCCAGTGTCCATCTTGAAGAGACTTGTTGGACTTTTAAGCCAAAACCCCTTGGGTTATGTACATACATCCTTCAAACTTTACTATCAAGATCCAGGTCTTGCAGCTTATAATCAACGGGATACACTCACAAGTCTGATTGGAGCTGTTGAGCTCACATGGCAAACAGGTGCATGTTGCAGCCAACTACACCCATTTTTCATTATGTGCTCAATATTCTGTGTAAGGCCAATAAAGAGACAGTTAGTACTCACTGAGGCACACATTAGCAGGGTTCCTATAGCTGCTCCATTGCAGTTACAAAATTTTGCAGTGAGGAAAAATTTGGTCAAGTTGAAATCAAGTTTGACTGTGAGATTGCTACATTTGAGCACTTTATTGGAGGTCTTGTTGTCACCCAGATTCATTAATCTTGAGCTTCTATTTCTGAATCTCAAACTTCATTTGGTGATAGAACTTGATGATAGTCAGGCCCCACAATGCAAAAAAAAAAACATGCTCAACTGCCTGCAGTTGGCATGCAGAAACTGCCAGGAAGCTTCTGTTGTTACTCCAACCTTTCTGAGTGATTCAACCAAGCTTTGATGCACAGTGACTGTGCATACTGCACAGTGACTATGCCAAAACATCTACATATTCAAACAGGTGGAGTTTGAATGACAGCTTGGCTGGAGCATGCTGCATGTCAACTGCAGGCAGTTGAGCCAGTTTTTTTTTTGCAGTGCCACCACCAAACATTTCAGTCTGGAGTTTAGATTTAGCGTATCTAGATTAAGCAATCCAGACTAACAGGAAGTCCTCCATTTTACGCAACCAAGCAGACTTGATGTGATGACATTTGCATAGAAGTGCCCCAAGTGAACCAGGCTATTAGACTGGGCTGCAACAGAAGGAAACAAGAAGAGTGTCTGCCCAAGCTTTGAGAAAGTGGCAGAACATGAGTTGGGACAGAGAGAACGCACAGCAAAGGAACAAGGACACCACCACAATAAAATGTCCCTCCTATAGCTTCTTATGTTGACAAAGAAGTTGGTCACATGTAAGAATACG